AGCACTTGCCAAAAGGGTGTTCTTCATCATTCTGACCGACTTCTTGTGTTGGATACCAATCATTGCTATCGGCATCAAGTCTCACGTCGAGAAAACATTTGATCCCCCTGGTGATCTGGCAGTGTGGATTGCAGTGTTCGCTCTGCCGATCAATTCAGCTATCAACCCATTGCTGTACACTCTTTCTACTCCACAGGTAACATATTTATTGTTTATTATTTCTGAATTGGAGATACTGCCACATTCAATTTTGCTTTTGTATCAGAGCAGGCTGGCAACTTAATTCGTAATTGTGACTACTGACATGAAAGACGAAAATGAAAAAGATTTGATTATGACCATGAAGACCAACTTGAATGTAATAGAGATTATTCAAAAGTCTCACACTAACTATCCCATAAATTTCTGTATAGGTGCAAGCTATACTGAAACCAAAACTGAGGAAGCTGTGGTCCAATGTTCGATCTTTTTTCAACAGAGGACAAAATCAAGAAGGTAACGGTTTTATGTTCCATTTTAAAATAAAATACCATAATAACAGTAATGGTGTTTCACACTTCGAATTTCACATTTTTTACGCCTGAGGCGTACGAAAAGCAATCAAGAGTGTGACTCTAAATGTGTGCGTAGAAATGGGGTTAGAGCAGGTTTCATGGAGCGGGGGGGGGGCCTCGCTGGTTGAAATAATTATTTCTGATCGATCAAAGCCATGTTCAAGGAGAATTGAAGCCATTTGTCAAACCTTTTTTAATAACAATGGAGCGGAGATTTTTAAATTATCATTAAAATAGAAAGGAATCAACATCTGTCTTCCATTTCAAGGTAAGATTAATACAAATCTGACTTGTAGAATGATTTTTGTTTAATAAATATTTGGAAAAGCCTGACAGTGGCTTATTCACTGTTTGAAAAAGACCAAGAAAATTTTGTTGTTGTTTCATAACATAGAAGAAGCAGAAAAAGATCACCAGAGACAGGGTGGAAATGAAGATGCACACGCTATCAACGAAGAGGGTAAAATATATTTGATTAATGTGATTACACATGAAATATTCCTTTTCTACCCCGGAAGTTTTTTGTGTAACAGCTTTTCCATCCTTGTTTTTCGTTCATTAGTAATCCTGGTTTTCTTTCTTTCATTTTTTTCCTCGTAGGAGAACACATTGAAATGCAAGTAATAGAACACCACGATATTTCAGAAGTGGAATCCCTTGAATTGCCTGCTCTGCAACCAGGTCAGTGCTCCATCTGCACACTTATTTTCAGACAGCACGTCGTAAATAGTGAAGTAAAACTACTAAATGGGAAACATACCAAGGACATTATTCGACCCGAAAAACTTTCAACCGTGACACTGATGTTGATGGTTATGCCATGACTGACTTTACAACTTGACTTCCTTGGCATTTATATCTAGTCTATTTTAAATCTACCAGAATATTTGCTCTTTCAAATTGAAGTACCTAGAGAAAAACCACGTTATTCCTTTTCTGCTCTGGTACATTCTCTATGTGCGTTTTGAGAGAGCAAAGATTGAAAAGATTTTTCCACATGACATAAAAGTGACTAATTTTGGCGTTATCACTTTTGGAAGATGAACGCCTAGTTTAACTAGCTTTGTTTTCTTTAGATACGTTTAAAAATTCTGTTGAAAGTTTTCCTTAAGAACTTTCTACCTCTACTGGTGAGACGCCCCTCCCTTTCCTTTAGCAACCTGTACAGTGTATCATGGGAGAAAGATACCCTCGTCCCACATACGATACGCCTGTTGTAAATGAATGATACATATATATTGATAAAAATCATTCTATGTTTTGAGTTTTCAGTTTTATTATATGGTAAATAACTCTACTTAAAAATATCCCTTTATCATGTCGAAAGCGCTGGAACAAGCCTGTAGAGGGGATAAAAGTGCATCTTCCTCAGGTATTATTACTTATCAATTGAAATAAAACTCACAATCTTGCAGATGTGAATATGAGCTGTGTAACATAAGAAGTTTATATCCATCCAGAAATTAGATAATTCATCGTGATTTGTAGAGCTTTCGGACAATTTTTTACGCTCGCACGCATCCAGTTCCAAATATAACGCTTACAGTTAAACTTGACCGAAGTATTTCAGGTCTTTTATTTTTTGGTCTCGATAACTTAGTTGTATATTTCAAAAATCAATAGATAATAGAGTATACATGACTGCTACTTAATATAAAATGAAATTGTTTTGTAATGTATTCAAGAAGAAAACATGAACCAAAAGCATCATGACATGGTTTACTCTACTTGTTCCTTGATACAGATTATGAGGATGGTTTTGACATCCGATCAGCCACTAAAAAGACTGTGAAAGGTAAGACCTTTTCAATTTTCATTTTTTTTAGAGGAAAATATACTACTTCACAAAACAATGAATCAAGGAATGCCTTGTATCACCCAAAGTATTGGCTGTTGCTACCGAGTTGGCGCACGGAATACTTGCCTGTATTATTATAATTTTTTTTTTTTGTATCATACCGACAAGATCGGTATTCCATATTATTAACGTCATAACCAACAATCAAATCAGTGTATTCGCGAGAGTAGCTTCGTATTTCCTCCCTCTCTTACTGAACCTAACAGATCATCGCGATTGAAAAACGTCTCAGTGACAAGTATGTTGTTGTCAGAGAAATGTTAATCTTGCGATTAGAGGTGTTAATTTCAAAGATGCCCGCAAATTAATTTTCCGAGAAAATGAGCAACACTTGATTGAAACCTTCAAAGGATCACCTTCAGTGTAAATGAATTTATGCAAAATAATTGTTTAATTATATTGTGAAATCTTAGGCTCTTCAGGCATGTTGTCTATTTAAATTAAATTTTCGCAGATGAACTTTTCTGGATTGATATTTGCGCAATACAAATCAATCGTAACAAATTACATTATTTGAGTAAGAAGTTATGTTTATATCTACACTTATCACATCACTCGCAGCACCTAAGGGCAATATGAAGCGAATCCTGTGTTCGGATTGGCTACCCGAGCGGGCAAGATGGGCTCATCTTGCCCGCTCGGG